TTCTCCAAAATAAAAACCAAGTGTTTAAAACACTTATTTGATGTATTTGGCTAAGAAATCAAGTGTTTTTGTTGGAGAACCGTTTAGACATGCCAAAGAGTGAAAGCAGATCATAAAATGCTGAAAACCACTTGGTTGGTTCGGATGCCAAAAACCAAACCCGACAACCAAAAGCCGAACGCTGGTTTCTGAAAGCCGAACACTGGATGGCTTGGTTTTTGGTTTGGGCAAACACCAAGTGTTTTTAATGACCTAAACAAGTTTAAAACCATTTTTATGATGTAAGAAATGCAATGAGAGTTTTTAGCCTAAAGAGCCAAAGTGTAAAGATTGGGTCGGTCTTGATCACAATAAAGACCGACTCAATACTATGATTAAGGTCTTCGTTTAGCTCTTGCTCTTATCTTCGTTCTTCGCCTTGTATATTCAATGTTCGACTTGATCACGGCGGTTTGGCATTATCAAAACCTGTTACAAAAACGAACACGGCTTTAGTACGAAAACGTGACAAGCCCGTGTTTCAACAACAATGTCATATAGGAAAGCTTTACTAGTCAAACAGAAGGCATTGACCAAGTTGTATGACTCAGATGAAGATTCCTACCAATTATTACCATCAATGTGTTATATGTTGGAGCAGAAAAATCCAGGTTCTGCAATTCACTTGGTTAGGTCTTATGATCAAAAATTCAAATACTTGTTTTTATCCTTCACGGCGTGGAGACAAGCATGGGGTCATTGTATCCCCGTTCTCATTATTGATGGAACGTTCACGAAGTCTTACTACAAGGGGACATTATTAACTACGTGCTGCCAGGATGCCAACAAACAACTTGTTCCCATAGCCTTTGGCATTTGTGATGCTGAGGATAAGGAATCATGGACGTGGTTCCTCACAAAACTAAAGGACACCTTATCTTTCAGGCATGATATGTATATCGTATCACATTGTCATGATGGAATTCTTTACGCTATAGACAAGGTTTTCCCAAATGTAGAACATGGTTACTGTACTGAACACATTGCCCGAAACACACGGGGCAAGTTTAAGGGACCGAAAGAAGATCTAGCGTGGAAGTTTAGGAAAGCCTGTCGTGCAGCCACTGAGGTTGAGCGTGAGGAGTATCTACAAATGCTAAGTGAACAAGATTCAAGAATCCGCTCTTACCTCTAGAATATCGGAGAATCTAAATGCTCACGTTGCAAGAGTGGGCCGTATCGATACTCGATAATGACATCAAATGCTGCAGAATCAATGAATAATGTTAGTAACTTTGCACGCGGATACCCTGTTTCCATGTTAGTTGATTTCATTAGAGAAAGGATGCAAAAATTGTTTCATGAACGCCTTGAGAGAGCTTTATCTACAACATCAATTATTTCTAAGAATTTTGAATCTGAGTTAATATCTCTACAACGGGATGCCTTCAAGATGAAGGTAACTTTCTGATTTCTATTTTTGTAAAATACATATTTATAATGGAATTATTTCGTAATTTAACATATCATAAATAATTATTTATGCAAAACTAATTTCCCCCTCATATAGGTCAAGCCATCATGCTCATATGAGTTTGAGATCGTTGATAGGTGGACTTGGACATTTATTGTTAATCTTAAGGACAGGACGTGCACTTATGGTGAGTTTCAGTTGGACCATTTCGTATGCATTCATGCCGTTGCAGCTATTGCTTCTCACCCTGGTTTGTCATGTTATAGTTTCATCTCGCCATATAATTACAAAAAGTGAATATGGTATAAGTTTCATTCTTCTTTTGGCAGTGTTGTATGTGTTACGGCACTAAATTCAATCTCAAACATATTGTAGCAGTGAAGAATGTATACATTGCAGTGTATTTTGAACTTAATGATTTAAATTTCACATCCTAGACCGAATTGGGGTCTGCCAACTTCTATCAACAATTTTTGGCAGTGTCCTACGACCACGTTTGGTTTATGTTTTTTCGTCAAATGTGATGTATATATAAAAATCCCACTATCATATATTATTCATTAAGTTCCATAAATAGTGGATATAAAACATTCACCAAAATCACTAGTCTTATATAACTTTATCAAACAAAGTGTGCAGTGTAAGCCTAAACATTTTTTGAAGTGTGGAATGGTGGTGATATGCGTATAGTTTGTGGCATTGTAAGCCTAAACATTTTTTGGCAGTGTAGTATGTGTTAGGGCACTAAATTCAATCATAAAGCATATTGTGGCTGTGAAGAGCAGAGAAATTCATACTTATATATAATGGGGCAGTGAAGAGTGTATACATTGCAGTGTATATTGAACTTAAGGATTTAAATTTCACACCCTAAACCTAATTGGGGTCTGCAAACTTCTATCGATAATTTTTTGGCAGTGTCCTACGACCACGTTTGGTTTGTGTCTTTTCATCAAATGTGATCTAAATATATAAATATCCCACTATCATATATTATTCATTGCGTTCCATAAATAGTGGATATAAAACAAGCACCAAAATCACTAGTCCTTATATAACTATATCAAACAAACTGTGCAGTGTAAGCCTAAACATTTTTGGAAGTGTGGAATGGCTGTGATATGCGTATAATCTTTTGGCAGTGTATTAAGTCCAATATTTTCGTCAGTGTGCTATGAAATGTTACAATGTATGATCCATACCCACTCTTTAAAGTGACAACATAATACTTTTCATTACCCATATCTTCTCACTACCACAAACATCAATTTCAGTATATGTCTTGAAGGCATATTCTAACCTCGTAAATATCAAGCAAGACCAAAAAAACCAAATGAAATGATAAGCAATTGTAAAAAACTCTCCACTAATCCACTTCTCAAATCACTTATAAATTAAACGCCCATAAATTATTACTAAAACAAAACAAAATATCATGAATACCACAAAAAAAACTTAAACAAACACCAAACAGTTGTCATACGAACATTAAATTATCCAAGGCAACAAAAAAAAATCTATTGCTTTCGGGATTCTTCCTTTCTTTCATAGCTATAAGTTAAAAGTTCTGTTGTCATTTTAACTCGGTAAGCTTCCATGTCACATGAATGCACTTCATCTATGCTAAAATCCATCATTAGAAACTCCGCGAATTTCACTACAAACATACCACAATTACACCTGCATTTGTATACATATGTCAAACTCAGTAAACATTGGGTACTATTTACATTTTTAACATAGGTAAAGTCACTCTCACAAAATCATAATACTTAACTACCACATACCCGTCGCTTTGTTGAGGACACCCATCAATTATATCAATTGAGAGCTTTTGATCTCCCATTGGCCCATCCGAGTGATTTTCATACTCATTACCGATGTCAAGAAGCTTGGGTAACAATGATGATATACACGGCACGTAACATCCAATGGTTCCCAGTGTTCAAAGGCATATATACAAAATCACATTCACTCTAAGGCTTCGCATATTCTCGCTCTAATCCTAATACCTCACTTGTTAGACTTGAATTATCAATCACATCCTCCCTTTTCACCTTTCCGACGTCTACCATTTCCTGGTGCGTCTTGAGTCCTTGCAAGAAATATGGTGAAGCTGTTGTGTACGTCTGGATCAAGGTGTATTGAATGCTCTTCAATTCAAAATAATACATTACAATATCTATATGTTGAAATAAAAAAAACAAACCACAATTATGCCATTACATAACACATATTGTATGCACACTTCTCTACCAGGAACCAGCATACACATCCCGGCCTTTGCAAGTGACGGGAAAGTCTCAAATGCCCATATTTGCAGTGCAAACATGTATCCCCCAAATGTTGGACGAGAAGTTCCACCCTTTTCAATGCTTAGTCCGCATCAATGAACATGATCAACCAAGTCTGACTACACATCATCTCCCCATGGGAAACTATAGAACTCATCCATATCATCCACTAAGTTTATATAGCCCATCAGAAATTTCACTGTTGGCTGGTTACCTAAAAATGAATGTGACAAGGCATAAACCAATGACATCTTGAGTGCATCACTTGTAAGTGCCCCAGGTGTACCCCTCTTAAAATTTAAAAAAGCTGTGTAATGTCTCTACGTTGCACTGATTTTTTTCTGGGGAAGAACCTTGACGCAAACCTTCCTCTCTGTTTATTATCCATATCCCCTCTATAACCACCCATCTTTAAACCAATGATTAAATGAAATTGTTCCTTCGTCAAATTCACTTCATTTCCATGAATTCGAAAAGTCAATCCTTCTTTTTTACTTTCGTCTCCATATGGCCTATCACAATTTCTGACCAAAGTAATAAGTAAATGACCACTAATCCATGAAAATTCTGCAACATCTAATATAACGCCAAAAGGAGATTCTCTGAATCTGTCTAGTTCTTTTGTAGTCAGAATTTTCTTTATCTGTTTTGCGACCTCATTCACGTTACAATACGTGTCAATCCTCCCATCTTGCATAACACCTTTAGAGGCCACTTCAGCTTCCTACAACAACAATAGAGCATCAAGGTAAGCTTCACAAATCCATCTAACAACACTTACATGATGAAATTTGTACCACTGAAAGATTAAAAAAATATAATGCATGGTTCATAGAAATAAATTTTCCCTTATACTAAGCCGAATCAATCAAACTTTAACCAAAATTTATTAAACCAAAAGAATGTATCCAGTGATTAAAAACCAAGAACAACAGACATAGATGTTATTTCGAATGCACTGCCAAATAGGTCAAAATCAATGTAAAAACACAATTTAAACCCATTGCCAAACAATGGAGAAATTCAATGCTTTCATCATTCTCCTATCCTTTTCTAAACCAACTGCCATAAATTCACAAAAACCACACTGCCAACAACAGTTTAAACACACGGGCAACAATTAAAAAATACCTGACTGCCTCAGTAAAAAACCCATAAAGCCAAAAAACATCCACAGCCAAATAACGACAAAACCCAAAAAAAACAAATATGTTTCACTAGAGAACAAAAAACCCGAAAAAAGCACACTGACAACAAATGTTTCTTAGAATCCAAAAAAATCTATTTTGTACCTCCGAATCCAAAAAACCCAAAAAAAAACTTTGTCAGTTTGATTACTTTAGTAACTTGGAATCCAAAAAACTACTGTTTTCATTTAGCGTAGAATACTTTATTTCAAGACCCGGTACGAAACAATTAAACACAACACTGCCCAATAAAACACACAACCAAAAAAACTAAAAAAACCTTTATTTTCATTGGAGTACGAAAAATCCCAAAAAACACTCTGCCAAAACAGAAAAAACCAAAAAAAATATCAATTACGTCTAACTTTCAAAAACATAAACCCTTAAAAACGACACTGCCCAAAAAAACACACACATCAGCACAAAAAAACGCCAAGAAAAAAAATCAGTTATGGGAAACACATACATGAAAAGGATTAAATTGTAGCCATTGGAAATATGGAATGGTCCGATAATAAATTAAAACTAAATTTT